CTCTCCAGCCTCCAGAGCGGAGAGGCTCAGCAGCCCGGCCTTCCCGTGGACAGTTGGGGGGAATGAGGCCCAGGGGACCAGCTGTTTGTCCCTTCACGGGTCACATCAGACGAGCGCGAGGCTGCCTCCTGCTGGCCCGGAGCTGGCCTGCCACAGTCGCTGCCTTGTGGGCTCCTCATCCCCAGCGGCCTTCGCGGGCTCGCCCCTCCCAGACCCCCCCCTCACCCCTCACGTCCACAAAGTCCCGTGGTGCCGGTCTGCCGGGGTCCATGGCCACTGCCCCGCCTGGGGACAGCCCTTCAGGACACAGAGGCACAGCCACGCCCTTGAGTTATCTTTGCCCAAACTACACCCCCAGGCCAACATGTCTTCATTATTAGGAGTATAAGGGTGGCACCTTTGCACCCACGCCCCAGTGCCCGCCCCTCTGGGTCTGCCGTGGTTCAGGCCGTCTGCTGGAAATGTTAGTTTTTGTCGCGGCTCCGCGAGGTCCCAGGATGAGAACTCGTGTCCCATCCCACGGCCGCCCCGTGCTGCCCAGCCCCAGAGTGGCAGAGACATGGGAGCGAGCGTGGCGCGAGCCTGGAGGTTTGTGCGGAGAGCACTGCCTAGCCAGACCTGGTCATCGGATGGCCGTCCGCTTGGCCTCTGTGGGCCTCAGCCTTCTTATCTGTGAAATGGGGATGTGGCGAGGCCTCTCCTGCTGCTGGGGATACACTGGCTCCGTCTGCTGTTAGTGTGAGAGCTGATGGCAGTGCCTCAGGGACGCTGGGTCGGGGCTCAGGGCTCGGCTAACGTTGCGTCTCCTCCCCTGCAGTACGGGAACTCCGGGGGACCCCTGGTGAACCTGGTAAGTGTGAGCTCTGCTCACAGGAGGGGGCACGTCTCGAGACAGGGATGAGGGTCAGGAATGCAGCTGGGCTGGAGGCCAGGAGGACGTGACCCAGAGCCCCTGCCGCCCTGAGCCCCTGCGCCCCCAGGAACGCAGGAGGCTGTCCAGGAGCAAGAGGGCCCGGGAGCAGCCCAGGCAGGGGTGCCCATCAAGGACCTGGGGCAGGAGACAAGGCTGGGGCCAGTCATTCGTTGCACCTCCCTGTCCTCGAGTTTACGTGCAAGATGAGGGGTGTCCTCATTCCCTCTCCCTCCTCCCAGGTCCCTCCCCCAGGTCTGTCCTGGGCCCCACAGTCAGGCTCATTCCCACCCGGGTGAGACTTAAACCAGGAAGCTCAGTCCACAGCTCCTGGGCCCTGGGAATTGTCAGGTGTCTCCACCCGGGGGGGGCCCCACTGGGGGGGGAGGGTCCACACATGGTCACGCCCAAGTGCACGTGAGGGGCAGGGAGCGAGCTCTGGAGGGACGCCGGGCAGGGAGGGCTTCCTGGAGGAGGGGGCCCTGACCTGGCGGTGGAGGCTGAAGTCGGGTGGATGGGGACATGCAGGAGGAAGGAATTCAGGAAGGGCACAGCCCAGGCGGGGTGGGGTCCCAGCCTGTGGGGGTCAGGACGGGATCAGGGTGGGAGGCCGGCTCCAAAGGGAGGGAGGAAGGAGTGGGGGTGCTACAGAGCTTCCCTGGCCCCCCTCGCCCCCACCCTGTTTCCAGAGGAAGGGAGAGAGGAGGACCTGGTCCCCCAGTCCTTGTCACACCCTCTTCCAGCCCCTCAGAACCCTGCCTGGGGGGTCCAGGGTCAGTGGGCGCTGCTTCCAAGGGGCGGCTAGCACGCTCCCGCGAGGGCGAAGGGCAGATGTGGAGGAAACGGTGGGAGAGTAGAGGGCCCCTGACCCAGATGTGAGCCCCAGGGCATCTCCAGGACAGCCTCTGGGCCCCAGGGACTCCTCCGACGGGCGGACGGCCAGGGCGGCTCTGGGGCCGGACACAATGCTTTGCGTTGAGGGCAGCAGCGTCTTGGGCCCCAGAGTGATCGCCCTCTGCTCTCCCCACACCCAGGACGGTGAGGTCATTGGCATCAACACGCTCAAGGTCGCAGCTGGCATCTCCTTCGCCATCCCCTCGGACCGCATCACCCGCTTCCTCACCGAGTTCCAGGACAAGCACGTCAAAGGTAGAGCCTCCAGGGCTGGCGGGGCCGGACACTGTGCCTCCAGGGGCAGCTGCCCTCCATGCTGGGTGCCCCCGCTCACTCCCGACTGGCCCAGAGGTCCTGAGCCTCAGCCTCTCTCAGATCTTCCTCCCCCTCCTCACTTCATGGCCATGTGCACTCCCCACCCCTCCAGACCAGCTGGAGATCTCTGACCTCACCTCCCACCTCCAACTACTTGGGCTCCCCAGACTCCCTGTGTCTGAGCTGTTCTGTAACTGTCAGAACCTGGTCCGTCCTTCCATCCACCCACCCATCCATCCACCCACCCATCCATCCATCCATCCACCCACCCAC